TGGTAATTTCACCCACCCACTGCTCTGTAGCATCACCACTGGAATTTCTAGAACATTTAACAGTTAACATAGAAGATTAAACATTTAATCTCACCCTATATAGTCCCTAACATGCACTAGCAACCCCAAAACGTACCCCCAACTCCTGCCAAGCTCTAATTAAAATCATAGAAAGAAGAAGATACAAAGAAATTGAAACAAAATTGACATGAAACTACAATTTTCGTTTGATACGTTTCAAAAGCTATATACTTTCGAGACACTCTGCTTAAATCTTCAGCTGAAGACATGTAGTAGCGTGAATAATAAACTATAAATGTTTTTCTGTGGGGGTTATGCAAGGAGGTATATAGCATATGGAAACATCAGTGTATTATAATATATCTTGTATTTACCCCATTTGGTGATAATACGAGCAAGTGCTTGCTTCATACGTAAAGCGTTTTAAAGGTGTGTTCAATATTTTTTATTATTGGAACTGGGTTATATGGCCTGTTCACACTACACCAGTTGCCATCGGAACGGGGCAAATTCTGTAGCTACTATTAAAAAAGGAGGTTTTTAATGTAAGAAATTTAATGTTAGAAGTTAATGAACACATGCAGGACTTGTAGATTTGTATTATTAAACATTTGCAACTATAGTCTATACGCGTTGTTTTAATGTTTAACACGAAAATATCGTGACGAGGCAACCGGTGTGGTGTAAACGCTGTCCTAACGTATACGTCGTAGACCATATTCCTGAGTGGTCAATGACGTTGGCTAACGCTGCCACAGATATCAGTAAAGGAATGTCAGTGGGGTAGGGCAAATAATTAGCAAGATGGGCCTAATTGAGCTGCATGGAATCAATTTTACGATTAAAAAAAAGCACTTGCCTGGGAGTTTTGGATTGGATTTTCTATTAAATCAGGCTGCATGAAGTCAAAGAAGATTACAGTTTTGACTTTTTGATAAGTGGAATTTCGGAACTCAATAATACGTCGAGTGGAGGTCCTTGAAAGAATATACTGGTTTTTTTAGCTATTAAACACGCAATTCCATCGGCAGCGTTTAATAGTTTTCAGAGCATAAATGCATTTAATAAATTTTCGTGTGGCTTCAATTAAAAAAAGCAAGATTCTTATCGTGTCGAACTCTAAATTAAATAAATGAATGAGAAAAGATTCTCACATCCTCTTGCATCTGATACATTCAACGTTGGATTTATTCTTCAGGTTAGTTCACTGTCACTGACCTCGTATATCTCTATATCATTTATCATGCATCATGACATGGTCTATGGTGACCGTCAGGTGAATATATAGTCATCTTTAAATCACTACACGCAGTTATGTAAACATATCAGCAGATCTTTGATACCATTATCTACATTATATCCATGCAATATGATGAACATTAACTATTGTATTATTATTCGATGTATATTACTCGACGTATATAAAAAAATGCAATCCATGTCATTGCACTCGTAATATTTGGTATCATTGCAACATGTCATTGCAACTGGAACAGCTCAATACGATCGGATGAAAGAAAATGTTGCCCAAATTTCTATCTTTAAAAGTTCGACGAACTGATCTATCAGGGTCTTTTTTTAAAGAATCGGCCTTTTCATTCAGAGTCATCGACCCCCCTGTTTTAAAATACAAGCAATGTTATATAAAACATAGAAGCATGTATCCACCCAATATCCACCCAAGACCCTGTCATCCTCGGCCCTCTAGAGTGTTTCAGGTTTTTTTACGACAACTTTTAGATTTTCAATTTTCTAACCTTCAATTTTCGTGTGAAATTATCCTTCCCTTCATTCAATATAACCTATAATACAATATAATATATAACACCTTAAAACACGCCGCTTTTTCACCACGGTAACCATACTATTTACTAGACTGGAAAAGCGCTATACCCACCACCCAGGTCTCCGGCGAACAACACATTGCGGACATTTGAAATTCCCACACCCATCCATTCCGGGAGAGTTTTTGACTGATGAATTTTATTTTACAAAATCATGTGTAATAACTCTTATTTGGGCATATCCTAGAATAAGCACGCTTTTTTTTGTTGCTCAGTATTCTGCGGTTGATCAAGATTCGAGAACCAAGTGTGATATTGTTGTTCGATGTACTGATAACATGAGAAATACTCTCAGTGGAAACATTATGCTGCGGCTATAGATGTCGCAGCGTGTGCCTTGTGTCAATGTTGTGAGAAACGGTTTGGAACAACTTTTTATCGTCTATCAAAGCTTGGAAATATAGGGTCAGTTATCTTTTTTGAATTTCCGTATTGTGTTGCATGAAACAGAAAGTGTTTATTTTTACTGAGTCTGTAAAAGCAGGCTAGTGAGTGTGTCTGATGAAAGCTGGATGTCCAGTCAGTCTAGATACAAAGGCTATTTTGAAACCAAAGCCCTGCTTGGTACGGTAAGGGGAAAATTGGTACGGATGAAAATTTCCCAATCGACAATAACATGGGGCAAAAGGTTTGCAAGGAATGTCTCTATAATTAATTGTAGCAAAATTAATTAATTGTGGCAAACAATGTGAATTTAGTTCAATTATGGTGGCAGCCAACGATTGCAGTTAACGTTCTTCCAATCGGATTTTGGCGGCGGCTCTAAATGTCTTAGTTAAGGTTACATCGTGAACCCACGCGCCACGCACGAAAATATATAAACAACCGTGTATTTCGCGAGCAGTGCTATGCAGTGACTGGTGCAGGTCGTTGATACGAAGAAAGAAGTGTATTTATTCACAGTTTTTCTCTTTTATTAAACAAGCCGAGTAAAATATTTACATTTCTTGCATATCATTCTTGAGATTTCTGATAATACAGAGGTACAAAGAACACAGGAAATGGTAAGCAAACACTTTTTAATAACCTTGAAGTGCCGACAGGCAAGAGAAAAATATTACAAGTTCGTAAAACTGCAGTTCACGTTGTAATTTATAACATTGCTGTTTAGTGGGAAATAAAAAGTCCATATTACAAGTGTTTAATCGTTTTATATGCAATCGACGTTCAATATTGGACTGACTTATTTATTTCTAACACAACATGAAATATCCGGACAGGATATTACACACGGTCGATATACAATATATGCTCCCCAGCTTATCTCTGTCAACAATAAAATATGTTTTAGGATCTTTATTAACTGTGGATAATTTCACTGTTTTTATATTGCTGTTGTGCAAACAATGTGAGGAAGAAACGTTTTGAATATCACATGAGCTAGAGATAAAGTGTACTTGCTAATACATTTGTTCTAATCATAAATTATGTACGTCGAACATGCAAGATCTAGCTATAGATAGTTTTTACAAAGATGGCAGCTAAAATACTGGTTTATAGTTAAGAATACCAAGAAATTGTCATCCTAGATCTTTCATACAAGCCATGGAAAGATGAAAAGAACAATCTTCAAAACATACATGATAGAAATTCCTTAATTTTAACTTATATAATGCTATCCTATGAGAGAATAAGCTTTCATGACCTTGCTTTTGTATTAAAGCTTATTTTGTATATAGCGTATTAAACCCTTTTCAAAATTAAGAAATATGATTTATGTACAGGGGCACACCCCCATCTTTTCTTGTTGGTCTGAAACCTTTTTGGGATGAAGAAAGTCAGTCTAAAAGCATGATTGGTAAAAAAAAGGTTGGTCTAGCTAAAGATCTGAAAGGCATTATTTATGTCAAGCTTTTGACTTCAATAATGTGCTATTCCTAAATACAACAGTATAGCGCTAAATTTCTAACAGTTAAGACATCCTGTTTAGTATTTCTACATCAGTGGTTGATCAATTCTTGCTATTACAGCTGCCATCTCAGATATTATATAGGGCTGGAATATTTGTGCTTAGGTGCTTTAACTTTAGTGAAACTCTGAAATGAAATGGTGATTTCTGAATATCTCTGAATATCTTATCAAATCTCAAACATTTTCTTGCTCAACAGCAACAAAGCCCAATTAAAGGTAGTTTTGTGGTCCTAAACGTACTCCCTAGGTATCTTCCCTATTTTCACTAATTATCAGCCTGTCCCCGGATGTAGTGGTAACCAATCTGTTTCACTTCTTATAGCTAATTAATTGGAAAAGCTCCAAATTGATTCAATTTTACATAGTTGCAGTTTGGAAGTAGAAAGCAGTTTTGCAGCACCAATGTTCATCATAAAAAACATCTAGTTATGTAAAGATGCAACATATTGTTACATGTTAACAAAAGCAGGTCTTGTATGATAACCTAAGTTTATTTTTGGGCTTTAAGTAAATTGCATGCCTGTCTTTAAGTAAATTGCATGCCTGTCTTTAAGCATGTAGTGTGATAATCTATAGCTCTGGAGAAGTAATAGTAAATTGGGATCACAATATTTTACACAAATTTTTCTTATTAAGAGGAAAATTTTCTGTTATCAAATGTTTTACTTATTCAAAACATGCAGGTTTTAATATTAATTGTGTGGTAACCAGAGATACAAGGTTCTAGAGAAGTTATTTCAATTAATATCAAGCAAAGATTCAACCATAATCTTCTATGTTACATCATTTTTCATGACATTTTACATAAGGTGCAAGTACAACATAATTTGCAAGAGAATTTGCAACGATGTTCACTTATTATGGTAACAGTTATTTCAGTTTCATTACCAAAGCATATATTCATGCACGTTAAATTTACAATTTCTGAAACGGACTTTTATCTTTTTAGAGCGTTGCGTACCTAACTCAGATGGCTACAGGAAAGCATAATTACAAAGATGCAATAGAAGAACCTGTAATATGTATATTAAATAAGCAGAGAAAACCAGGAGTATTAAAGTTTATTGGTGAAACAAAATTTAGTTCAGGTGTTTGGTGTGGAATAGCGTTACGTGATCCTTGTGGTAAGAATGATGGATCTGTGGCTGGAGTTAGGTATTTTCAATGTGAAGAACTTCATGGAATATTTGTAAATCCTAAAAATGTTTTTCCTGAGTATGAACAGGATTTACATGAAATTACGTCGAAATCAGCTATAACAGAAGAGCTGTCACCTCCAGCCTGGGAGGAATACGGTGCGAGTGATTGTTTTGGAGATCAGTATCGACCAAGATCAAAATCAGATCTTGTAATTAACGAAAAGAAAGCTGATCCTGGTATATTTAGTAGCAGTCCATTTAAATGTAACATTCGAAATACAAAATCATCATCACTTTCAAAACTGAACAATGTAACATATATATGTCCTTCACCAGTTTTAAAGGATAATGATCGAAGGAGTGTGTGTGATGAAACACTCAATGATGAGAGAAAGAACGAGGACATCGCATTTAAAATGCCTAACCTTTCGCACCTTCGTAGTGATTTGTCTCCTAAATTCGAAGTCAAGCAATCTATCAAGTTGGATAGCATAAACAGTGCTCGATTTCCAGCACCAGCAAATTTAGACAAAGATAAGGACACTAACCTCAATAAGACATTTCTGGTACGTGCGAAGAGTCCTGGGGCAGGGAATGAGTGTGGGCAACTTTGTGAAACGTCAGGAAGCGACTTGAATGAAAAAACAGTTAAAAGTGACGACTTGCAGACAAAACCGACTCCTTCATGCACTGATCTGCAAAATCTGAATGCTTCCTCCGCAAGTATGAATGAGAGTGACGGTGAAAATACAAGACCTAGAACGGGATCTAAATCATCTTGGTCTTCTGTGGAAAGTCTTTCGTCTGTAGGTTCTGTCAAATCAAACCGGGAAAGAAGTCGTTTGAATGGGACAAAAACTCCAAGAAAATTACCATGTCCTACTGAATGTTCTAAGTCAAAGTTGGTAAAAATATCTGGCAATAAGAAAGAAAAACCTAAAATAATTGGAAGAGAAACAGAAACCACTACGCATGAAAAACAAACTTCAAAATCTACCAATAAACCTGGCGTAAATAATGTGATCGACAAAAAGGGTAGGACAAAATCAACCAGTGTCGTCGCACCACGGTCTGTACTGGCTAGTGCCACTGCGACCAAGTCCACCATGAGATCGAAGTCAAAGAGTGTGTCAACAGATGTTAGAGACGTTCAACTATTGGGTAAAAGCAAATTGAATCCGTCTAAATTTGCAACACCACTCTCATCAAAAATATCCGCAGCACCCGCCAAACGGCTCACCAGCACACCGATTACCAAGAGAACTGTTGGTCTCGAGAAAAAATCCCGACTCAATGGTACCAGTAAAAGAAGCAGATTAAGTCCATTATCTGGTAGTAACTGTGTTGATAAACAAAGTGACGTTGGAAGTACAGTGTCCTCGTTGCCGTCTCGGAAGAATTATCAGAAAGAAAGTGAAACAAAACAAAATGTGAGTAAATCAAGAAACCTATCAACCTCATCGGCATCAAATAAATCACTTTCTGCTAAAGCAAGGACTTTGTCGGTATCAGCAGTGTCAAAATTAGCTGGACATGAATCTATATCTACAAAAAATCTTTCTACACCTTCCACTATTAAAGAAGAAATAAAACCTCGCACGAGCAAATTAAGAAACGTTTCAACATCAAAGGCTGAACACCAAAACGGTAAGTACTTTGATATAATAACTTTGATATAATTGCTCTTCACGTTTTCCTCTGACCCTAAGAGGAGGACATACGGCGCGTGTGCGTCGATTATAGATTGTACCCGTTAATTAGGATATTTTGTTTCAATCGCTGTATTCATTATATAATTAACATGATATTCATTACAGCGTTTAACACAGTAAAATATTCCGTTTTATATTTAGAAGAATCCATTTGATTGTAGATTAGATTGTAGATTTTCTGCAAGCTGATGGAATAAATATATTTTTTGAGATTGTTAATTTTGTACCATTGGATAACATTTGATTCATGATGGAATATTTCTTAAAATTTCATGTTGTTTTTGCCTGCAATGTTTGTGCTCTCACCTACTGCGACGATAATCATAAAATATTGATCGGTGGTTATTTTATTTCATTAATTGTTTTATTACTGTCCAATCAGAACGTCAAAAAAGTTTATTTGATCATTTTTGTGACGTTTACTGAAAAAAAAATTGGCGTATTTGCCGTAACCCATCATTTCATTGAACATAGCACGGCAAACGTCTTTGCTGGCTTTAAGAAGAGAATTAAAGATATGCAATAATTATGTTTAAAAAAGGTTATCGACTAATGAGACGCAAATCGTTTCATAGAAGATTCAAACTTTTTCTTAATAACGATGATGGGAAAACTTTGCGTAGGTTGAAATATTGAATTTATGTGTAGGATAAACTATGTATGGATGTGATAAAGTCGGCTACTAAGACGATATAACTGCATGTGTATTTCTGTAGTCATCTGAAATAGGAGGTTGTGTCGAGGGTTGTGTGGCGTACAACAAGCAGATGTTATTGTTTATCCCGGGGAGTCTTACGCATTGTGTGATTGATAATCTTTCTAAAATATATGACAAAATTTCGACGTTTCAACCGGATTTCTTCAGTTTCGTGAAATATGTATTTGTGTAAAACGTCGAAGGTCTCCTAATTTTTTTTATGTGGACTGTTTTATACTTTGATCACACGAGGCATCATCAGGATGTGTTGCCATTCACACAGCATGGACATGTATAATCCTCTATACGTTCTAGGATGTCAGAAGGTTACAAAGTGCTGCCTTTCTCGTAGGCATATGTAGCTATAGTCGGGGTAGGCGGGCAAGAGCAGCTCAAAGTGTTACAACAGAGCGAAAATGTGAATCATGATCAAAGCTTTTCGTCAGTAAGAACGAGTATTCACAATCCACACCGTGTGTGGACATTTCATTTGTGTTTACGAGCCTAGGCGTAGCTTTCAACTACTAGATTTTATACTTTAATGTGGCCTTGCCGGGGAGATGAGTGTAACCAGGGCTTTGGTTACCTGGTGGCAAAGGCCCGATTATGTCGCTGGAGCGTTTGAATGCATGCAATACACAAAATCCAGTTTTTAAGATGTAGTTCTGCTCGTCTTGAATTCATTTTAAAATTCTACAAAATTAATAATTATATCGAAGCAAATATTGACTTTTTAGTCTCTACATTGCACTTGGCCTGCGGGTTTTAATGGCAGCATTTTTATACGATTCTTAGGTTTGAGAAGACCACTATCAGTTAGTAGTGTGAGCGAGAATATTTCAACAAACAGTAAATCAATTCCTCAGCCACGGAAAATAAAACCAGGCGAACAGTTGTCCGTGAAAGAGAGACAAAACTCAGATGAATCTGTTAAGAAGAGACCTGTTAAAGAAAAAATCGAAAGTACAAGCACTGGGCTGAAAAGTTGTCTCAGTTCAGCTGCTACACCTGACATATTAAAACAAACTCCAGAAGTTACCAGGCATTCTATAGCAATTCAAGTTGACACTTTGCAACACGATGAAGAAGAGAAACTACAGAAGACGAGAGAAGAAAAAAGAAAAGAGGATTTGTTGTTATCATCTTTGGTTAAAAGAAATCGAGAGTTTGAATCTTGTCTTGTTGCTCTACAAGTTTATGCCCAGAAAGTAAGTTTCGCTGCATGTGTTGATGCATATTATAACTAGGTTTCACAATATAGTAAAAAGACATATATTTGTGGTATATCTTGTGGTATATATATCCGTGGTATAAATTAAGAAGTTTTGAATGCACAATATCCTAACAAGGTCATTGATTAGGGCGTTTTAATGTTTTGTTTACACATGCATGACAACTATACGTTGGTGTTGGTCACACACATCACGTAGTTTTGATATTTAGATGAAGTAGGGCGTTTCAATCATGTTTTTTCAACGTCAATGTATATTGTACACTTTAAACATCAAAACGCTTTATTTTATATTAGTAAAGCAGTTTGTGTATTCATTAAAATGCCTTACTTCAGTTTTGACTACAAAAACAATTTAACTGAGATGGTCACATAAGAATAAGCAAGTAAGACATTTTAATGAATACACTTAACTGCTTTGCTAATATAAAATAAAACGTTTCAACGTGTAAATGCAATGATGTAGGACAGACATGAATGAAGTAGGGAGTATCGATGTTATGAAAACATAATACTTGTATTTCGTTTTATGTTTTAAATGTACAATATACTACGATAGTTAGCTACATATATTGACATAACCTCAGTATAAGGTGAGCATCTTCCTATGGAACTTCGCGCAATATAAATCTAATCTAAATGTATAATGTTGTGCATTCAAAACATCAAAAGCTATAACTTCTTGTACAGCCATTGTATAATAAATAATACTATATAGCTGTGCTTTCAAAAAATGAAAACTCTCTCTTTAAAACATAAAACATCTCCTTATACTTTGCTAGACAGATTATGTTTTCAAATTTACAAAATACATGGTCAGATAAAGTGAGAATGTTCACTGCACATATCATATTTTTTCAAAAGGAATTAATGCTTCAGTATTACATCGATGAATGTATCAGAAAACTCGTGATACCATAAAACAACAAACGAAATCCCTGACTTTAACTATCCCATTGACTGTGCAATGTGCCATTTATATCCATCGTTTTTGTGTAGGTTGACGTAGAACGAGAAAGCATATCAGTATTAAGAAAGAATCTAAAGTTTACAAAAGAAAGATATCACTCGACTGAAAATATGTTGGGTAAGTTAATGATAAAATGCATGATGAAATCCTATGATGTGTGCATGCATTGATAATTCTCTTGTTTGCCTTGTAATTTTCAGTGAAAGAAAGCAACCAACGAGCTCGTCTTGAGGAGGAAATGTTGTCAGCAAAGAGTGACAGCGTTGTTGAAGTTGCTTTATTAAGAGCAGCATATGAACGTAAGCAAGAGATAATCCAGGCTAAACTGAAAGAAAGTCATAAAAAAGATCTAGAAAAAGGTGGGAATATCAAATAAATAATGTTACCAGCAATTTCTATAGCTAGTTATACGTATGTATGCAATAGCAAAGTTCAATTTTTTTCAAGTGAATGTCAAAATATGCAACAACAACTGCCATTTATACACACGATATAATATTTAGTTTTTATAAAAAGACATAAAAGCTTATAAAAGAGAAGTATTGAAGGCTTAAGTTATCCACTGGTAGAATATCTATGTTATAAATAAATAATAATTTACTATATAACTATCATTACTTTCTTGACTATTACGTATTTAGTACGAAAACAACATATGAAGTCAATGGAGGATGTCAAACATAGTTGTGACCTAAAGGTAAAATTAATAATTTCATATCTCTCTTACCTTGATATCTGAAGATATTTTCAGCATTTCTCCCTTAATTCTCGCTTGGAATACGCCAGAGTTTGAGGTTTGCAGGGATTTTACCTTTAAAGATAACCTTAAGTGAATTCGTCATATCACTGCATGGGCTGTAAATTGTACCATCCGGTCATGCATATGGGCGAGACATTTTTGTATGAAGTTTACAAGTTAATCGCTATATTGGCATTGTTAAAATATTGATACCAATATTCGAGGTTTTCTTCTTAGTTGAAAAGGATTGAAGAAACGTATGTGGAAGATATCGCTCAGATCAATGAAACACACAAAGATGTAATCGCTGAATTGGAATCCCAACATTCAAAACACGTCGATGGTAGGTTTTATTTAACCAGGTGAAATTGGTCATCCACTCATCCAGTGACCTCACAAGGGAGATTGGGCGTTGGGGGGGGGGATGGTTTGGGTAACAGGTAATATAGGAGTAAACGTTTTGTAATCTTCTTCAGATCTTGTGGAAGAACGTCATGCAGAGATTGAAATAATCAAAGCTGATTACGACGAACAATTTGAACGAATCCAGGTACAGAGATGAATGTTGTATGAGGTAGATCCAACCTCCTCTTGAACCAGAGTGTGTTGTTTTAAGACTTGATAATAAATGCATGAGAAGTTCGATGTTTGATTATCAAATTTTTTTCAGGAAAGTTTATCACAATCAGAAAAGGCTTGTAATGAACTGGAGGAGAAATTGAGAGTTACCGAGGACGAAGCAAAGAGAGATATTGAACTACGAATTCAGGTTAAGAAAGAATTATATGGCGGCCTATATTCATTATATACTTGGCTTGCTTGTTTTCTTAATGGAAATTGTAAAACTTTAAAATAAATCCGACATCATGCATCTAGAAAATATATCCCCCTTGGTTAGAGTCTAGTCCTATATATCCTCATGTAATCTTACAGATCAATCGTATTTAGTAATTCTTTCCTCTGGCTTGTCCAAGTTGGTCAGCCTCAATAAGTTTAGTTTTGTTACAGGATGCAATTGCCAAATACAAGAGTCTTCCGGATGAACTTGAGAGTATGAAGTTTGTTTTGGAGATGAAAAATTCCGAAGTAAAAAATTTGCGAAGATGTAATGCTGAGCTTCAACATAAGGTGACTGGTGTATATATTGACTAATATTATAACAACACAGGATCTGGGCATGGAGTATCAAAAATTCACTTCTGCGCACTAAAATACATGATCCAGGTTTATTCATATATCGATGCATGCACCGAATTAATATATTTGCACGATTTCGGCTGCATTTACACAAGATCACCGGGGCCCAGGTGTAGAAAACGTAACTACGTTTTTGAGTAGTATAAAATCGTAGTTGCATGGCTTCAAAATCCCCGATTCTGATTAGCCATGTTCTGTCACTATAGTTTACTTTAATTGTAGTTAAACGTTATGACTACTTTGTAGCTACAATCGTCCCCAGAGAATTAAAAAAACTTCACAAGCTTAAATTTTCTTTTAGAAAACCAGTGTAGTTATTGTAAACCCCTCCTACTATTGCATCCATTGTTGCTTATTCGTCATGCATACTCATGACTATGTATAGTACTGCGTTGAATGCATTAAACTGTTATCTGCTTTGCCATTTGGGATTTCGATCAATGGAAAGTTTGAAAAGTAATTGACTTTTGCAGATTGACGAACTGCAACAAATCAAGGAACGTGCAGCTCTGCTGGAACGTGAAAAGGAATCCTTGAATTTCGTTGTTGAGAATAAAGTTTATTTTGAGAGGTAAAATATATATATATATATATATATATATATATATATATATATATATATATATATATATATATATATATATGTATATATTCATGTTTGTCTTTGCCAATTTAACGTAGTATAATTAAGCCGCCCATTATTGGAACAGTCAACTGATTATACAAGCGTTTTCGTAGCTACATGAATTTATTTATTTTATAAAATATTTTCAAAAGACTGTATTTTAAAAATAAAAGAAATCTGTTTTTAGACAACTTTCTTTGGAGCGAGATAAACTACGTTTGAGCCTGGATCGAGAGGTTGCGACGTCAAAAAGACTTTCTTTAGAAAAAGAGGAGTTAGCGTGGCGTTTAAATTCTTATCAGAATTCACCGACATCACCCACCACGGGTACAGATCGTTTCAACTGGAGATTGTCTGGCTTCAATAGTCCTGATAGTGCCGTTTACTCGCAGAGGATCGAGGAATCTGATTTTGAATATCAAATTAACGACACGAAGGTTCGATATATTTAGATCTCTGTTGTCCCATGCAGTTATAGATAAATATATAATTACCAATCACCTTCGAAACTCATTAAAATTTTTGTGCAATAATTTATAGGAAATTGAGAATTGATGAATTTATGTCAGCATCCTGATCAAGCCTGGCTCTTTTGAGGATTTTGGTGTTTTACAAAGTATAATGCTTTGGTTGAAGATGATATTTTGTCAATTAACGTATTAAAAAATAAAATAAAATACATAAATTTTATATCTTGAAACTTGAAAGAAGCATTTATAGTTCTTATGAAGCGTATAATGTTTAGTATAGGCTGTAAGAACTCCTTATTCTATTTGAAAAAATAAAAGACTATTCATTCATTCCACATTCAAGGTAAAATAAGTGTGTCTTCATATACTGGAGTTATGATAATAGTGCGCTAGTAAAATTGTATTTTCATATTACATGTTATATAAATAAAGGTTTATTTCTAGTTTTAGCGAACGCTTGTTGCTTTATTGAATGAATTGCATGTATTAAAAAAATTTGAAGTCGCTGTATGGGAATAGTCGGAGGTTCCCGAAAGTCGGGAATTCAAACCGAACTTCAAAGGTGGTAAAGATAATCTCTAAAAAATGATACGTACACATTAAAAGATACGTACGCATACGCGTACATATGAATATATGGTGTTTACAATGGGAATACTGCCACTGCATGTTAAAATTCTGTGAGCATATTCTCGCTTGGTTTCGCTTTTGGATCTAAACCAAGAAGTTTCATCTTCACAGCAATGTCGCACAGGTAATCTAAACATTCGCACCTGAAGGCGATAAAAGATGAGAGTAAATTCAAAGTTATTGATGGGTAAATATTTTCAGGGCGTCGCCCTTATCTTTTGTGAAATTACTCCATGAAATCGTCCAATTTTGCGAAATAAACAGCGCCGTAAAATAAATACAAACCGCTAAAATTGATGGGTTTCAGAGAGCCCTAATTTAAAGTTTTCTCGAGGAGGGTGTCTCACGGAACGCCCTGGGCACCTTGCACCTATAATTATTCTTTGCATGAGCGAGGCTCATGAATGGAAGGATTTAGTAAAATAGCGATAGTTTCGTGGCATCCATGCAGTCAAAACATGAACGGAGACATTACGAACTAGATAAGTAAAGAAATGAAGATTTCGGCTTAAAAGCAAATGACGTAGCCATGAACTCACATGACTTTAGCCTTTTGCCAAGTTTCTCCCCACACGTAGACTCCATGCCGTCGAACAAGAACCGCACAGGAATGTGGATACTGTAGCATTGCTTTCACCATGGTCTCCTTCATAAGAAATTATAATGGAAAAGACAACCTTAATCGATTCACGTAACTGACTCCACTAACTTCAACTATATTCATGAAGACAAGTCACTCTCTACAATTAAGGACCAGAAAACAGCGAGTTTCATATTTCACTTCGAATGCCGATACTTCTGGCTGACCTATTACGCTCGCGATTGGTTATTCTGATAGACCTGTCGCATTTAATTGGTTCATGCTCCCTTACTGGTATAGGTGCAGTGGAAGTGAACTGAATTATCTGAACTTCGTCACCGATAGTCCAAAAGGAAACAGAGACACAAATAGTTTTTTAGGCATGTGCACCTTTAAGTCCTGTTCTTGTGGTGTATTTTCTATGATGGGTATAACCAGCTCTTCGTCATATCTGAAGGAAATTAAGTATATAAATATAAGACGTGTATACTTTGATTTAATATAAAAAAATTAAAATTAAAATCAACAGGTAGTAAAAGAGATTCATTCCTAATACTCTCATTACCGACCTATAATTAACATCTGTTGTTGCTTTCTTCATCCCTTTGATCATCTCCTGATGAGTAATACGAAATTCCTTTCCAGAGCATAACATCGTGGCCAGAACACAATGCTTGGAGTGTGTGTGAATCACAGCTCCTGCTCCTGAAATAATGTTAAGAATATTAACGACCTATAGCAAGATAATTAAAGGCTTACAGATGCACATAATATGTTGGTGCATACTGTGGCGCAATAAAAGTGAATTAGTATAGAAGAAAAATCTATTCTTATGCTTATTCTATAAAAATTATTGAAACCGAATTTGTTCCCCCTTAAAAAGGGTCTCTATCCTCATATGGCGGGGGGGGGGGGGGCATGCATCTCATGCATGCCACAGTCATGTACAGTTAAAGAAATGGTACGGAATTTAAAGCGTAATCAAGGACATTATACAACCTGTCAGAGAATAAGCATTCATAAACAATGGTGTGCACTGACTTTTCTTTAGCTTCTTCCTGACATGAGGAAAAATAGTATATGCTTTTTATTTTAAACCTATATAATCACTAACCGCGTGCATTATATATATGTATACACAGTCTTGTTACGGCTAGTTCCGTGAGCTGTGAGCATAATGGTGCTACTATACCATATACATACATACCAGTATATATGTATCGCTTATGTCCTCGCGCTCGTAAACCGTTTGTTTAATTCAGTGTAAATACATCGCCAGATCGCCTGATGATCGTCTTTATAAGACGTGCATGCATGAAACACCGTGTAGCGACATTTTTAAGATTGTAAATTAATAAAATGAAATATATATATATATATATATATATATATATATATATATATATATATATATAAAATATATGTGTATATATTGGTACCACTGCATGCATGGCGTAACATTTTCAATATCTCAGACCCGAAAAGGTTTCGCCTGCTTGACCGAAGTCGAGACGGTGATATTTTGTATATCGCGTATGGTATTTTTTTAAAAAGAAAGCCAGGTTGAATTCTAACGAAACCAACTTACGCTGGACTAGGAAAACTGAGGTCTTTTCCGGTGATGTCGCACACGAACAAGTCATCTGGCTGTACACGAGCACATTAGAAAAAAGGAGAATTTTCACTTTATACGCGAACGGAAATTGAAAGCCGATGAAGTCGGAGCATAGGAATGCTATCATGCAGTATATGATGGATGATATATTGAATGGAGATCAGTTTACAAGTTAGAGGGTTGAATATAAATATTGTCACGCAACTTACCAGCCGTAACATACCCTACTGGCACCAAATTCAACGAACGTCAAAACTTGAGAGTGTATTTTTTATAACATATTTTTGTCGCACAAGTAGTGCACGTCTATACACTTAACACAATACTATTTTAAGAACAACACTCAAAAACAACACGTTTTAGGAAAAACATAATTATGCACATGCTTACTCTCAAAATACAAATATTCTAAATCTATCGAATATAATTTATAAGCATTTGCCAAAACAAAGGCCGGGCAAGGATGAAATGGGTACGGGTACCCATTTTAACCGTGCCGTGCCAATAAATCGAGTGTAGACTGAGTAGTGTAAACGGGGCTTAAACATGCGCTATACTGACCTTCAATCTTTCCTTCTGAACGCCAGAAGGGGCAATGAATATTTCATCCCTATCGTGAGAAAGATATCGAAAAGATATTTTAGTGCATATAGTTATACCCTCGATACTTAAAATGGCTAGTAATTAATATTCAATCAGGTAAATAAACGCAAAGGCAAACCTACAAGCTAATCAGTTACTTAAACCCAAACTCAAAGTGGACTATTATACCAAGTAAGTTGTTGTACTTATTGCTTCCATTTACCCAAATTCGTTTGAATATCGTTTCGCAAATTGTACAAAAATTCTACTACAAAATTTTTCAAATCAGATGCTCAGTTACCCATGTTTAATGCTAATGCCTCCACCTGTGCCTGTCACCCATTCCATGTGATAAAATTGACGCATCAGCTCAGGAATAAGATTTCTAGGATGTTCAGGATCCTAAAGATCGGTAGACAATAAACCTTTCTCGGCTATAGTACAAAGTACAAACACTACAAACCAATTAATCGGCCTGCTGATTTGACTACAAGGCTGTTATGGCCCCCTATATCTATGACTCGTGCGTGAGTCTCTATTTTCACCAACCAAAAATGTGCGATGCAAAAAAATGATCAACGGCTGTAATTTTTTTTTAGATAGAGAAGTTGTGAAAAGGAGTTTTCTCGTTGTTTGTTTTACGACCAGATTAAGGAAGGAATGGCGTAGTATATACACTAAATAATTGTATTGATTGTATCATTTAGGCCTGGACAGGGCCTAAATTCGGACTCGGTTACCTGGGTATCTTGAATGTTTTATTCGAGGTTTATGATATCTAGTCATTCATCACCGGAATTACTCATCAGTATAAAGGCCTATAAAAGCATCGATTCCGATGTTTGGTACGTATGTATGTTCTCAGTTTTAAACAAAGATCTTAAACCAGCCAATCAGCCATATCTGATGCATGTGTTTAAAATGGGAGGTTAAATCCCACATTAATTGATCGTCCAGCAGCGCTTTTGACTCTGGTTGTTAAAATAGTTTGAGCATGTATATAAAATATACGTTATTATTTCAGAGGGTTCATGGTTGATGGAAATCGAGCAGAATTTATATACTTAGCTGGATACTTGGCGGAGTTCCAAGTCTGAACTACTTTAACAAACACAATTCTCCAAATCAGTCTTACAAGTATTAACCCATATGACAACCCGCTGATAAATTATTCCTCGAGAAAAATGTAGAAAATATTAATAAATTCACTCTTAATATCTTCACTTTTCATTATATACACGGCAAAAAACGCTCAAGTTGTTCCCGGTTGATGAGAACATGCCTCAACAATGTTGTGTTACAACCCATAAACAATGTTGTCAAAAACATGCATGTTGCAGTATTGTTCATGGGTTATAGCACAACATTATTGTTGAGCGTTTTTTGCCGTGTATGCGATGATTTATACTATACGTTCTATTAAGAATGAAAAATGCTCATACCAACACTAAATATAGAAATTAGCATAGAAACTACATTATTCTTTGTAGATGAATGAAAGAGCTGCCTGTTTTCAATCCATAGCAGGCAATTAAGGTTAGCCTGATCAGCTTGAACGTTCCATATATACGATAATTGCGATAAGTTCTAAGTCGGGTAAGACGTGTAGAACAGTTACGAGGCGAAAAAAATTTATGGACTAAAAATAAAGCACAAGTCCGATATATCATCATTGATGACTACAACATACATGATAATCTCATAGGTATACTAAACCCGCCATAACCCATAACACCGTAAATGTTGTAATATACCCAAGCAGGATTCCTGAATGGGGCCTAAGATTATGTATACTCTAAAGCGGTGGTATATACTGAAATATTGGTTAAAATATTAAGGTAATACTAAAATAATAGCAGAGCTATACTTCCTGAAGACGTAAAACGAGTACTTACCTTAGAATATTCAGAACATAAACTTGATAATGATTGCGCCATGGCCAATTATAAGTCGCCTAGAAAGGAAGCAGGGAGCTAGGGTATGTTTTTCTTTTACCCGACTGGCGTCTGGCTACCGTACGTTTACCGACTAGATTATATTAGAACAACCCTAAACAGTATAAAGCCTGGTTCCCATACGACGAGGACGTGCGCAAAGTGTCATTGTCGGTGATTATTAATGAGTAAAATCTTTTGTCTTTCTGAAATTATTTTCTCCTTGGATGATTACAGAAAACGAGTCGGCAACAGGTCGGTGTCATATGGAAACCAAGCTTATAAGGTAGACGCCGGAATATGAGTTGTACCTTTCTTTCTTTGTAGGTTCAGTCTGTCTTCAACAAGATCTAATCACTAACCAACCGACCAATGGGACCCACCTACAACCGGTTTTATTTTTTTGCGGTACGATATCGTAAAAAGCCCGGCGCCTGTTGCTGCAGGATGCAGCGGCAATCAGATTGAAGGAAATCAAAAAATATCATTAGACATGTACGAATGAAAAAAAAATGTAGGGTCACTTGAAAAAGGAAGACAACTTGTTGTTTTAAAAAAAGAGTAGAGGACATTCATCGTGCTTCTGCATACCGAGGCCCATTGCTTTTTTCTCGTCATATGCGCACACGAATGTCAAACTATCCAAGAATTGGGGAGGGGGACAAACAAACTTTTGATCAGAAATAAAGAATGCCGTCAATCAAATACTTGTTTTGACTACAACAACATCCTTCATTGTCGTTTTGGAGGCAACTATAAAGTCATATAAATAAATTTATTTCAACTGTTTGCCGTGTTGAAATCTCTAAAAAGTGCAAGTGAGGAAAACAACGCCAAAAGTTGTTAATGTTATATTAATTAACTAGGCGAGTGCCAAATATTAATTATGGTAAATGCATATATACTATAATATATACTATATACTATATGTATCGTACATTCATACTATACAGCTGACTGTTGGGCTACCTATATGGTTTTATATTTCGCTGCCATTTCGCCACGATGTAATGAGGATTTAAAATTGAATCGAATTATCAGTATTTACACAAAATCTTTTTATTGAGTTATATTGTATAACATATATAAAAGAAATAGAAAACATTTTTTCCTGTGTTTTTAGACAGTTATAGAAACACTGTGGTAGTTTGGGATTTGCATTTTATCTATCTGCATTTTATCTCCTACCCTCTTCTCTTATTAACAAGAGGTCCATCCTGGAATCCTGAGGAGATAGGGGAACGTGCCTCCAGGTTTTGGAGTGCATGGGTGGACGAATATCGAAATAGCCTTCCGATATTTACTTGTTGATCTAAATTTCTAGCGATTGTTATTTCTAGCGAAGGTATAGATAGATCCTTGTCTGATTTTATGAAATATAATTAATGCGTTCGACGAAGGAGATCGTTTCCTAGCCGTGTCATATCGAGATTTGCGATGTCAGATTTGCCTCGTTCTGATGTGTCGTCATAGTAACTGTGTTCGCTCTATTTTGACATTTTGTTGTTAATTAAAGCATATGAGCCATCACTGTTGTTAAATTACTCATTTTGCGGGTAACCTTTGGAATCACATACGCTGTGAGCCTGTGACGTTATAATGTTAGCATTTTTGTTAATGATCGTTAACCGAAATCAACACATTCCGAACGCACATCACTAATCTGTGATTACTGCTAGTATACTATAGTATACTAGAAATTTCTAATAGAAAGTGAAGTGCTGCGAAATGTACATATCGATTTTTATTTAATTTTTTCATAACATAATGTGACACATATCTAAATTATATGAAACATATCTAAAGGCCCGTTTGCACTACAGTCAATTTGTCGGCACGGCACGGCTAAAATGGGTACCCGTGCCCAATTTTACTAGCGCTCAGGCTTCCAAAACAAAGGCCGTGCACGGATGAGATGGGCACGGGTACCCCTTTTAGCCGTGCCGTACCAAAAAATCGAGTGTAGTGTAAACGGGGCTTAAAATAGGTTTATAATATTTATCATGACGTCACACATCATGAAATTTATCATGACGTCACACACTACATACATACCAAAATGTTCAGCGAGATCGCATACGCATACAGAATAGAATGCTCCTCGCTTCGCTCGCAGCAATTAGTATATGTATATAATTTACTGCGCGTGACTGTTGGCCTAGGACTCACTGGTTTACCAGTCACTGGGTAAAACAGGTTTTTAGAGGTCAGTGGTCACGTTCCTGACTGGCGATAAACTGGAGTTATTATGCTGTGCTGGCGTTATGTGATTATGACACGTGATCGACAAATCAAAATGAGTTGGATGAACAAAGTAAAACGTGTGGTTTTCTCTTCTCGTTTAATATACAACACTGTTTTAGGTACAAGATATTTGAAATATTGGAAATTTCGACAGGTATAAAATTTTATTTCTATTGCGTCTAAGATCGATTGTCGTGCAAAAACGTTTGTCAAAGGCTACCACTATGTGTAAACATCGTTTTAATGTTACAAGGAAAATTTAGATAAACTTTTAGGTATTTTTACATTTTTTATACGATGAAAAGACGGCTTTTATTTGAACAGAAACGTTTAGCCAAACGTCTAGCTTATACGCTAAACTACAAATTCCGTGATTGTGAATATGTTTATAGAAGTTGATTGAAATGATGGAAAAAAATAGCAATAATAATTCGTAGTTGCAAGCTTGGTAAAATTTATTGAAGAACTTAAGCAGGGATGGGCTGGGTAATATCACTTATATCAGGAGAGGTTATTGATAAAAGCATTACTTCGGAAAATATGGATTTTTTAAAGTAACAGAAAAATCGTAAAATATCAAGGTGTGACACTTTATTTTCTATTATTGTTTTTCAGCATATGAAAAGTGTGATTTTTGACCTATGCCTTAGTGTCTTAATAGTTATACATCCTTGAAAAGATAAGAAATTGACAATTATATGTTAAAATGTAGTTAATTGCTAATAGAACTTTCAACTTTACAATTTCACATAAAATCAAAATATCAAAATCAAATTACACTACTTCCCCAATGCAAATATTGTTTGCTTTTTCACAGCAGAGAGTTTTAAATCTAGGATTCAGCATTAATTTCAGAGTACCTGTAGCGAAGTTCTGCATTAGTTTTAAGTTCTGTATTTCCTCTATATATGTGGTATTGTTCTTCATTCATGTGTTACATGATGCTAAAGTGCAGAAAAAAACAGCTTCCTATTGATTATTTGTTCTGTTGATAGGTTGTACCAAGGTTGCAAAGGTTTGCTCGGCATTTTTTAACCCCAGTACCTCCACTATTGGCTTTGTCTTTATTTGGCTGGAAAAGTGAAGATAAGATGGAGGCAACAAATTTGGAATCTGGCCATATTGAGGAGGAGGCTATAAAACATGCTGATAAGCTATACCAATCTAAAGAAGATAAAGAAAGCAATGAAGTTGAAGTTGTAAAAAATCTATTCGCCTACCTTTCCCAGTATAAAGATTGTAGTAATGCTGGGTTATTGTGGAGATTAGCAAGAGCTGCTCGAGATCTTGCCACTCTTTCTGTCACTGATGAAACAAGTAAAAAATCTTTAACTTATGAGGCACATGAGTATGCAAAGCGGGCGTTGGCCTGTGATGAAGAAAACTTCGCTTGTCATAAGTGGTATGCCATCACACTGAGCAGAATAGGAGATTATGAGGGAATAAAACAGAAAATCTCAAATGCTTATATAATTCAAAATCATTTCAAGAGAGCAATTGAGCTTAATCCATTAGATCCAACATGTTATCATTTGTTTGGAAGATGGTGTTTTACTGTTGCTGATGTTCCCTGGTATCAAAGAAAAATTGCTAGTGCTATTTTTGATACACCACCTTCATCATCATACGAGGAGGCTCTTGATTATTTTGAGCGAGCAGAGCGTCTTGAGCCAAATTTTTACACCATGAATCAACTGATGATTGTAAAATGCTATCTTCGTCTAAATAAGAAAACAGAAGCTCAATCATGGTTGGAAAAGCTTCTTATATTTAATCCAAAGACGGAAGAAGATGCAAAAACGGTTGCAGAAGCGAAAGAACTGCGCAAGAATTGTTGAAAACATTGATTCATTTACTGTACAAATTTTTGTACTTATACTGACATTAAACTATTACTGCTAACTATGGCTCAATTTATGAAAATTAAATTCATGTTTTGCCAAAAATAGACTCCTGCAATTTGTAACAAAACCTAGTCACTGATATTAAAGATAGCTTGTTGTTTTGCCATTTCTCATATTTCATTTTTTGTGATCAGTCACGATGAAAATTGATTAAATTAAAAAAAATTCAAAAAGCACTAGTATATGTATGTCGGAAATGAGAATTTTTTAAATTTTTTTTTCAGTTTTTTTAACTTCCAAATTTATATCAATTTTACAGTCTTTCGTAAAGACCTGGGAGTCTTTTAACTTTTTAAGCTTTCAAATAATATCATATTTAAATTGTCATGGAGGATTCGAACCTACGCTTACAACCTGGTAGGGCCGTAGCCGTATATTATTATGTATATTATTATACAAATACTCACAGCGCCCCGTTTAAGGTTGCACGAAGTACAGAGAAACCAAAAAAGTGTGTATGACTTCAAGAGTCGAATGTTAACACATTTTAACATGTTAACACAGTTTCAGAAAATTTTCACAAGTTATCAACACACGGCCGGTGGCCTAGTGGTAAGGCTACGGAGGTTCGAATCTTGCATGGCAAAGGTGATATTTTCCCTTCGAGATTACTATTTAATGTAAAACTCGTCGAAAAGGATTAGATCGAAAATAGCTTTCGACAAATGATGTGGTGGTTTAGTGGTTAAGACCTTAGTCTCTCAATCCAAGGACAAATGTTTAAAACCACGGTCCCTCAATCCAAGGACAAATGTTTCAAGCCCTGGCAATGCAAAAAAGAATTAGCCTGAAAAAATTCGGTATGATCTGGAAGCTTAAAAAAGTAAAAAGACTCCTAGGTCTTTAGGAAAGACTGTGAAGTACTGTT